GTCAACAAGAACAACAAAGTGTATGAGATACAACTTAAAAGCGCGTGTCCCCCCCACCCCCCCCCCCCCCCCCCCCCCACTTAGAAGCGCGCCCATTTATTTGGCACATGTGCTTATGTCCTGACTAATGCGTATATAGGCGGTTGCCTTTTTCAAGTGCAACTCAATTTGTACCAAACTTATCGTAAGCGCATGCGCTTGTATTGGGCTGTATGAATTATTTTTTAATATACTTTTATGATGCATGGTTCATATGTTTTTTAATTTTCTAATTTTGGCCTCATCCTCCTCTAGACATGGGTAGGTGACCCGACCCGACCCCACCTGTCCCATCCCGTCTAGGCCGAGCCATAACAGCCACGGATTGGGTTGGGACGGTTCGGCGGGCCGAGATGGACCCTGATTGGGGCCCCAGCCACCTTAGGCGCATGGGTATTTGTGACCCGTCCTCGGGTTGGGTTGGGTCGGGTCACAGTAGGCTCTAGAATATGTAGGGTTTGGGGTGTAAGTTTGAAATGATACCTTGTAGCATACAGTGAACTAATTATTATTATTTTTTTTGCGTTTATTACGTTTTTTGTTCGTAACCCATCCTGCACATATAATTTGGCATCATAGTATGCAAAACAAAGGCATATTACTCAGGTCAATTGTTAGTTGATTATGAATTCCAAGTTAGAAACAAATAAAAGTTATTGTACCACCAATGGGTTAAGAAGAAAAGGCATGGACCTATAACAACCAGTCTAGTATCGCGAACATGACTAAGAACCCATCATCCTCAGTCTCATTGATCAACTCCACCAGCATGCGCGCAGCACCTGCCACGTTCAATGTCCTGCCGCTCATGTTCTGCTCCATCTATAACTAGATAGCCATGATGGCGCTCAGGCGGTGACACTGCCATTGACAACGTTCTTACCCTAGCTAAAAGTGCGCTCGCTAGCTGCAGAGGTGGCTGGCATAGCCTGAAATACCTTGCCCCCGCCAACTTCAATCCCCCCCAATTTCAACCCCTTTCTTTGCACATGTGGCTCGAGGGAGAAGGCGGCTTAGGAACACTGTGTGTATGACGTGGTAATTCCACAGCCACCTTGACAATCTGACGCGTCGGGTTGTCAGGTTGAAATTGGGATTACGAAATGTACCTAGCACACATTTAGCGGTGTTGATTAATCGTGTGAAATCCAAATTGAACGGGGTAAGAAATTGACGTGACAAACATTTACCAGTCCGTGCAACGACTTCGCGTGATACAAAACCAGTTTCAACCCCTCAAACTTAATCCAAACCACTTTGAAATCCCTTTAATCAACCACTGTAACACAAACAAGGGGGATTGGAATCGACCTAGATACACAATCCGTTCCCAGAACGAATTCGACAATTAGAACGGCCACTATCTTCCTAAAACTATTTCTTAAGTAGCTATACCTAGTGGATGGAAAAGGCGGCTTTGACAACTGACAAGAAAAGGGCACTAGTGTCTCATCGCATAGCTAACTCCGGTCTTTTGTTGAAGCTGCTCATGAAATGGCTGGATTCGAATTTTCAGAAAATGCCATCCAAGCAAGGCATTTGCAAGGATTTCAAACATCCTGAACCTTCAGGCAGGTTTTCAAAAATATATATGCCCTGATTTTTCAAGGCAAATTCTCATGAGCATCTTGATGATTCAGAGCACATGTAGAACTTTATCCTGTCATGTTAGGGCAATTTTATTTTAAGACCCGTGATTGATCGTATCGTGCTTTGACCTGCCAGCTCATGACTGTGCATGCCGTCCCGCAACACAAAGGTGGTCGGTCGCTAACGTGACCAAGGAAAATAATAGAAGAAAAATAAACACCTTCCCCCTCTCCACACCCACACACTCCCCCTCCCCTTCCCTCTTGTATACGCGCCAGGGCATTGCTCGATACTCATCATGACGTTTCAGGGCAAAAAACAGTGGCTTTCATGGAAATTCATGGCTATCGTGAAGTTACATGGTGAAATTTAGCATCATCTCTGAAATTTCAGGGCAAACCCCCAGCAACATTATGAAATCAAGGTAATCAAGATGTTTTACTCTGATATCTAGGGCGCTGTATCGAAGTCTACTTTCCCAAAGATATTGAAACTAGAGCACTGCATGGATAAAGCCCACCTTGATCTTAGATACACGTATGAGGCGTACTGCAGGCCATTGTTTCTACGCTAAGGATTCGCGAACGGGCGATTAAGCAAACCGCCGCCAATATGCCACTCTTGTTAACTATCATTCAAACTAATCATGCGAGCTAGCGAGGCGTATGTGATTGTTTAGAGAATTTTCGTGTAGCAAAGGTTGGTTGTGTAAAGCATTGACGCGTATAGGTCTGGCATCCTACATACGGAAAAGGGAGGCGTTGGGTGCAAACAAGGAATCAATCGCCATCACGAGGGAGAATCTTCCCAGATTCTTCGAGGGTATGAGGCGCAGGACGTTTACAACTTGGATGAGACGGGGTTATTACAAGGGCAACAACCCCGTCGAACGTACGCCACCGAGTATGTGTCTTGTGGAAATTTGGATAAGGAGCGATTTACTCTAGCGCTTTGCGTGAACACCGACAGTTCCCGTTCTAGGAGGCACATAGTCATCGGGAAGTCTCTATGAAAGCGCTCTTTAAAATGCGACTTTCATGTGCAATACTTCGTTTGGTAATGATGTCGGAAATCCCCTTACCCAATCTCTCTTCTCTCGTCTTGTCCGTCTCTTCTCCCTGGGACCTTCATCATGTCTTCCCTCTGTGCCCTCCTTCTTCCTCCCATCCCGCTCTTCTCACACCAGCTCTCCTTCTTCCCTCACACTCGTGCCCTGCTTCCACTACTCGGTTCTTACTCCTGGCCCCTTTTCCTTTCTTAAGCTTGCTGGTTCTTGCGGTTGCTATTCCCTTGCCCCCTCCCGTGGCCCTGAACCGCCCTTGCACGGGTCACGAGACCGGTATAAGCCTGCTCCCCTGGCCCTGTTCTGGCCAAGTTAGTAACGTGATCCACCGCCCTGACCCCAGCTTCACTTTCCAGTACCAGCACCCCTGACTCTTGAACCTCCTTCACAGTCCAGCGTTGATGGGAGAGACCCACGTCCAGACCATCCTTCCTTGGTCGGCGGACGTACACCTCTTGACCCTAGCACAGAGCCGCAAGTGCTCCCCCAACCCTATGTTCCTGCCTCTGCCGATAACGGTGAATATCACACAGCTGAGCCACATGCAGGTTCTCCATGGCAGCCGGAAGCAGCTGACGCAGGTAATTACCCCTCGCTGCAGACAATGTTGCCCACTTCTCGGGTGTCCTTGCCATGACCACATCAGTCAGCACCCTCGGCGCCCCCACCGGTAGCGTCGTCTCCCTTCCGAAGAGCAGGTGGTATGGCGATTGGTCCTTCAATGCTGCTTGCTTGCTGAACCGATACCCCGCCATCACCCAATGCAGATGTTTGCCCCATTCCCTCTTCTGCGTTTCCCCGTATGCCGTCAGTCCCTTCTTCAATGTCTGAATCAGCCTCTCCGCCAGCCCGTCACTCTGTGGGTGGTAATGTGAGGTCGTACGGTGCGGAATCATGCAGGAGCGCAGCAACTCCTCGAACTCTCCTTGGAACTCGGTCCCTTGGTCAGTTAACACCTCGCCACATGCACCGAATCGAGTCAGCACTTGCTCCTCAAACGCATCTGCCACCGCCACCGCTGTCTTGTTGCTCAGCGCCTGCACCTCCACCCATTTGCTCTCATGTTTGATCATCACCACCACATATTTCCGTCCTTTCTTGGTCAGTGGCAATTCCCCCGTCAGATCGATCGACCACCGGTACCCCAGCCCCACTATCTGCAACGGTTGCAGCTCAGCTTGACTCCATTCAAACACTGCCCGGTTCCTGATGCAGGCCTGACACGTCGCCACCCAGTCCTTCAAATCCCTCCTCATGCTCGCCTACCACCAGCCCGTTTGCAGCAACTGCTGGGTCCTCAGTGGTCCGTAGTGTCCCAGCTTGTTGTGGACTTCTCCGGTACCCATTACCACCGGTAATTCTGCCCCCTGCTTCTGGCTAGGGCTGATACCACAGCTCCTTCTGCCGTCCTGCCCATCAGCCACGCCATAGTCTCTTGATCCTCCCATACGTCTGGAGCTCCTGCCTGCTGCTCCCTCCTCAGCGGTGTGACTAGATCCGGGGCTATCGCCATCAGCGCCATTT